CCCTCCCTAGTGTAATATCTTGTTTCTTTCAGGATTTCTTCTGTCCCTTACAACTATTGCGCCAGAATGATTGTTTGGTTCTCTTTCTGAGAGTCTTGTACTCTCGCCAGCTAAGCTGTAGCAGCACATACGCAATGGACCTGTTGTGTGCTCTGCATGGTATCCCAGTGAAATCGGTTACTCGTGCGCTGTGAACTTTGCGGAAGACTTTGCAACAGTTTACTGAGGATTACAGTAAGAAATTTGTCGTCCTTACATACCATGTCTTCCTACTTAAAATGCAGTCGTTGGAATACTCCTTACTGTAAGCCACCGCAAGCTTCTCCTTTTCGACCTGCGCGAAGAGCTGCTCTGCGACTGGAGCACTTGACCACCCAGATCTAACGGATCTCCGTCCTGGAAGTGAATGGCATCTAGTCAACTCTGGCTAACCTCAAACTGCATCATAATATCGGCCAACTGTTGTCATACAAAGAGAATGCTCGATGGATCCTGTTTTCCTCAAATTCGCTTTACTCGTGTGCAAGTCGAATTCGGCGTCATGGAACTCACAGGTCTAAGCAAGAAACGGTAAAAGTAGTATATAACACCGTTTGGACGAGTGCTTGCCTTAAGGTCTTCAGAAGTGGAATCTCGCATGACTTTTCCAGGCTCAACATTGACTACTTAGGAACTTAACACTCAAACTTGAAAATAACCTACTTTTGGACGTCAGCCTCCCTATGCTATTCTGGGCACAACGTTACAAGAAGTGGTCAAATTTGGCATCATGTTCATCAGCCCATCAGATGCTATACAAGCCCTATCATCGAGTTTATCAACCGTTCGTAGTAAACGTTGTGAGAAAACTTCTCGCATCCTCCTAGTCAAGCGGCTAGGGGAGCCATTTACATCGCCCAAGAAATGTAGCCAAGGTTTACAGCAAACTCGATTTTCGTCTATTACTGTGTGCCAGGGCGCGGTATAAATACATAAACAAATGAATATCAACAAGCCAGGAATACGTTCAAATCTCCATAAAGTTGCACAACAAAGATTGCCGCACGGTTCCTACTTGACACGAATGAACTACGTTCACTCCACAAATAGATCAGAAATTTCCTTGTGGATCGGAAGTGGCGAGTCCAGATGGACAACCATCTAACGGACTGGTATCCATCGAGCAGCGGCGTGCCCCAAGGCACTGTACTGAGGCCGATATTGTTTCTGATCCATGTAAACGATGTGCCTAAGCTACTCCAATCACCATGTGCGTTGTTCGCAGATGACTTGGAGGTGTGGAGGGTAATCCGCACACTCAATGATTGTGATTTACTTCAGCAGGATCTCGACCGCCTCTCAACATGGTCTGCAGAGGTTAACCTTCCGATCAACCCTGCTAAGTCTCAATTTATGAGGTTGGGTAAGTGTGAGCACAGCCGAACGTACACAGTGGCAGATCAACCGTTGCATCCCGCGCCTTTCGTGCGCGACCTCGGTGTGCTCTCACGCTGCGACCTAAAGTCCATTGACAACACGAATAGGTTGTACCAAAACAGCCTTCGGATGCTTTGGGCGCTCAGGCGCAGCTTCAGCACTTGGTCCGAAGAGATTGACACTCGCCTCTTCGTCTCGATAATACGACCAATGATAGAGTACGGCTCTCCCGCGTATTGTCCCATCACGCTGGGCGAGGTAGAAAAGCTTGAGCTCGCAGCATGCAGCCACTAGGCTGATTCCCAGCTTACGAGGTATGCCATATGAAGACCGATGTAAGAAACTAGGGCTGTACACCCTAGCATATTGTCGGCTGAGGGTTGACCTAATCATGACGCACCGGATATTACATCTGAGTGATTACCCCATGTTGAGACAACTACTTTATCTGCGCACACCAAGCAGCACGCAAGGACACCTGTACAAACTTATCGTACCGCAGTTGAAGCCGGTAGCTCACCAACTCTGTTTCGAACGTAGAGTGATGAATACCTGGAACAACCTGCCGCAGCCGGTAATAGAGGCGAATTCAGTGTCCGGATTTAATAAGCTTCTAGACAAACATTTTGCAGAGACAAAATGTAGAGAGCGGAACGATAATTAATACGTTAATGTCCAAGAGCGACAATTGATGCAGCTACATAGAGTATGCTCTACTCGCTGCTTCAAATTAGTATCAGTATCAGTTCTCGCGGTTAAACTACTGAGAATCGTTGCATGCCCTTCCTGCGTGGCCACGGAGTCAAACCGATGTGCTATTCCATCCTTGAGCCTGATCACCTTGCTCGTTACCGCCGGCCTTCAATTTATAGCCCCTGCAGCTAGCCTGGATCCCTTCGGATGTGTGTCCAGGACGGGGCTTCATAGGTAGTATGGTGATGGTGACATACATGTCTGTTTGGCACCGCACGGTTCAGCCACAAATCGCCATAATTGCGTGGCTTCGTTTCTTTCATTCATTTTGATTGGGGGTACTAATTATAGGTTCTGGATGCGGTGGTTACTGGTCACAGACGAGCATGCTCATCCAGTTTGACTAGCAGTAATGAGCGAAGTGCTTCAGTCTTCCGCATTCAGAAGAATTGTTCCCGGTTCTTCAGATGTTGCGAGGTACAGGATTTCCAAGTCACTCGCATTCATTTAACATTATTTGCGGTCCTGCTATTTTGGCTTAACATGACACAAATCTGCATCAGTTGCTAGACACCCATACTGAAAGGGATATGCGGTTGAGACCTTACTGCTACAGCGGTAAATCGTAACATCGCAATAACTACTTGGTCGTGCCTTCATAATTGATTCCAAGAACGAATTCATCCCTTATGGGACATTCCACCATGTATTTGTAAAAATTACCAGAATTAAGGGCTTTAGCTTAGTAATAGCAGAGCCGATTTGCTGGATAGATATGTACCTTGAGTGAAAAACAGGTGACGTTGAAAAGTTTCCTAGATTGATCTTAGCATCACTTGCCACTTTCTGATGGCGGTTTTCAGGTCAGTCAGATCTTCGTCCTTGTCACAGTGCACTGTTGGTTATATAAGATGCCTACCAACAACGATTTCGTGTCTAAACATCGTTAAACGATAGGCCACTAGTTTCTCGTTGAGAAACTTCAACATCCGAAAGACCCATCCGTTTGCTTTTCTGAAGACGCCAGTTGCCCAACAACTAACGGCTCTCTACGTTCACTGGGGAAAACGCCTGAACATGTAGTTCACCTTGACCTTATCTGACACAATTTAGCAACAGTTGGTCCTTCATGCATGAAGACTGTCCAACAAAGTAGTCAGTTGTCGAAATGTCAGACGTTAACAAACGAGGTGAGGAGAATGAAATCTTAAGCTAATGGTACAAGATCTCTGTTCATATGATCTGGATGATCAAACCATCAGATTGGCGCCAAAGCGGTCAAGGCCATATGATCAATGAACAATGATATAATACAGGTAAAAAGCGATTGCTTTACAAGTCCCGTAAGTTGGTTGGAGTGAAAGTAAAAAGTGTAAATCGTCAATTTAAGCGTCTAGCGATTCAGGTGCCCCTTATGCAAATAAACATTTTCGAATATGTACTGAATTGTTACTGTAGAGTAATAAGGGAAGTAATGTGGGGAAGTTATGTCTTAAGAACAAGAGAAACGACAACGTTTACTCGTGCGCCGCTTTCTTGGATTGAGGTACTTGATGAATGCAGTTATAATATATCCGAAAATATATTCCAAAACAGCAGTGTGTAAGTGGTGAAGCACAAAAGCTGCGAATGAGCACCGTTCGTTCGCGTGTGGTTGACGTAGACATCTCTGATTATATAGCGTAATGTAAGTGGATAAGCGAATCATCCAGACGTCTTTTGAAATACCGTTAGCGTGGGTGAAGAAACAACTTATGTGGGGAGAGCGTTCCAGTGTTGACACACACGAAGGGAAAAGAAATTCCGGCGGATCGCTCGATGACCGATGAGCAGCGCAAACGGTCCTCCAGCTGTTCGTCAGGCCTAGTGCTCAGTGCCTCGAACGAATACCACACGGATAGTAGGTCGGGATCCGACAGCCGGCGCCTCGATACGCTTTTTAGTGATCTATCCCACCACAGTAATAGGTGATCAAATAGTATTATGGAATACCTAATGTGCTACCATTGTGATGGGCACATCATTTGACTTCATCGCTCCATCATGGACTAACGGGACGCACTCAGTTCCGTTTGGGATCACACAGTCTGAAGGGTTCTAATAAAAGAAAGGGCAAAGCAACGAATTAGGCTGAGTGGGGTTTGGCCTGATGAAGCTTGTCTCATCAGTTAGTGAAGTGTGATTCGGAAGTGGTTCCCTCGGTTGGTCGAGTTCGTTCCATGTTGCTTGCTGATATCGGGAGCCGAGGCAAGTAATCGAGCGATCTACAGTTATCTACTCTTAAAAACAATCGGTCTGAAAATGTAAACGAGCGATGCACTATAGTACTTAGTATGAGACGATCCTATCCTCTCTCTTCTCCCAAATCTTTCATCCATTTACATTCTAACCTAGTAAACGGTCATCGATCGGTAGCGGTCTGAACCGAAGGATGCGATTGTGCGCTGATGGACCCCGGAATTATCACTGAGTCATTGCGTTGGGATATGGTTTCGTCTCAAATCCCACATGTTCACCTGAAGTATTACTCGTCCCGCTTGAGAAGCATTTCAGTCCACTTCCGATCCTGTGTGTCTGTCGCGAATGCGGATTAACGCTTTTAATCGGAATCTGATTAAAACAATTGTGCATGCTGCAGCGCGATCTTCAAGCTTTGTGATTTTCCCCCACGGTTCGCATTTACTTAACCCATTTCACATTCCTGTGAGTTTTCATGTGAGCTTTTTGACTAGTTTATCTGACATGGTAGTCATAAGCACCAAAATTGTTGCAAAATGTGCCCGATTATTTCATCCTTCACATGGTGCGATACAGTGATTGCAGCTTTTTCGTTGCGATACCATAACACATATGTTAGTACTCACATAGTTGTGAAACTTTCATTTCCACAGATTGCAGCTGTCGGGAATCTGGGACAGCAGAAGCTCCAAAGCAAATTGTGTATTCGCCATGAAAGAAGTGAGCTGGAACGAATGTACGCATGGGAGAGGGGTGAAATCGATTACACTGGAGTGGACCGATTTGCAAACATTTTGGAAAAGTTATGCGATACCATGACCAAGGCCGGTGGTGGCTCCAATCTGCCCATTGGTCTCGACATCGGGCGATGACTCTACATACGGGAACATGGCATACTTGCTTTACCACCTCGGCACACAACAGATGTGAAAAGCAAATAATCTTCCGGCCATGTGGTACCTGTCTTCTTCTCCTTCCATTTTTGACAATACCTAACACAAGCCTTGGATACCCAATTGATTCGATTGACTACGATTCGTGCACCACTCTACCCCAGGCACTGCAAGAATGTACCAATAATATGTTCCACGACGTTGCTCACCGAAAGAGCAACGGTCCATTGAATGCTCATTTAATTGCTGACATGCAACCGACCGTCTTCTGAAGACCATTTCGGACATTGCCCAAACGACCAGCGCTACCTTGTCAACCTGCGCAAATTTTCCATCATCCAATTTTGCCATATTTACACTGATTTCAGCCTTTGAACACCTTTGGCCTACGTTTTTTCTAACCTTTCAAATTGCTTTCACTGATTTGCTCAGTATGCTTTAAAGAGGAAATATTTTGCAAGATAGCCGTTTACTTTTGTAATGTCTTCTTTCATAGGGTTAACAAAGTGTGTAATTATTCCTTTTGGGGTGACCAAATTGGTGCTGAAAGTACCTGCTTACAGAGGCATCCTGTGACCTTCCTTCCCTTTTTCTTGCGACTTTTATTTATAGGGGGGGGGGGGGTTAGTGCGCGCACCAACTTCCAGCTGCGGTCAATCCACGCAGCTGACTCCATCCGTGTCATCCAGGACATCCATCCGGATTGCGTTTGGCCATCGTGAGCATTGTCTGCACAGGTGATGCAACGTAAAAATGCCACATAGTTCATCTTTCCTGAGCCAGTTGCATCAATAGTACAACCGAGTTGCTCTTTAAGGAACTCTTGTTCCTCCGTAAAGATACTCAACTTAGCTCAGAAAACAGGTACCTCGCATCCAGTGCTGTGCACACGCACAGAAATGCGTACTTTTCGTTGCGACCATTCCCCAATCGACCAATAGCTTATGGGAGAAGTATTATGTACTATGGCGGTAAAGTGAAATTTTTGGGCGTATTGTCTGTTTTACTTTCCAAGGACAGTTTTGTAACAGTGTTTACCACAGTAAGGTGAAAAAATTTGACGTTGGCAAATTTCGTTTGATCCAACTAAGTTTGGATTAGTACTTTTCCTGGACTACGTCGTAGTCCTTCTCGGGTGCTCATCAAGGGTCGTCCATCTTTCTTCGCAAAATTCGTTGGCTAATGCACTGGTAATTTTGTGTTTTAAGCCGCTACTGTTTCAGCTGATTACCCCGCAGTTAACAGCTCTCCTGTTTCAAGTTATTGCTTATCGTTTTTAACTTTTCTCGAAATAGTCAAATCGGATGCACAGAATATCGGCGCCATTGTATCTTCGGCTGCATCGGACAGTGAGTATAATGGTGTTTCTGGCAGTATGGCCTGCATAAAGCCCGTGACAGATTGGTCTGGTGGCATACGGTGCTTTGTGTGCAACTGCTGGTATCATGAGGCCTGTACCGGTCTGAGCTCTGAACAATACGCCATGCTGTCTACTAGCGATAACTTACTGTTCAGCTGCGCCGAATGCCGTCGGCCTGGGCGTCTTAATGTCACAGATGAGGCATCAAGCAACGTCCGCCGACGTAGTCAGCAAATGTGGTCTTTTCTCACACCTTTGGACAGCAAAATGGCTACACTAGCAAAGATATGGAATTTCAAATGATGTCGGCCCATTGGGCAGAGCAAACTCAGCCAATTTCATCTGCCTTCAGCGAGAATCCGCCTGAGGTGTCGAGTTTTTCGACTAATCAGAATGGCACATTAGACGCCGCTCAACGCGAGACGGAACTTAGAACCGCCATACTTAATAACAACATGAGGAAGAAGGCCGAGAAATTCCGTAAGACCCTCACAAATCCTGAGGGGACTAAGACTGTAAGGTATATATATATATATATATATATATATATATATATATATATATATATATATATATATATATATATATATATATATATATATATGTATATATATATATAAAGAGAGAGCGTCATCAGTAATCATGGGACTAAAAGGAAGGTACAGAAATAGTGAAAGAAAACACAACAAAACACATCAAATTCCATGGTTTCGTCAGTGGGCGAGATAGTACCCGGGTGCCCAAGCCGAAGTAGGGTGTTGACTTAGGGGGACACCACCCCGAGCCTTTGGCTGAATAGCCTGCCCGCAAGGCAGCGGAGCGAATTCAGGGAATCGCGTCCATTGGGAGCCGGTGACTGATTGCTCAGTTCATACGCCTTTCGTTTGTTCTGTTTTCAAACGGTCACAATGCTCGTCAGAATTACAGCATAAATTTACTGGAATACAATGCTTCGCTAGCATGAAGCAAGGGGCAGTGACTGTATTTAGTGGCAAGTCAAGTCCGACACGTCACAGTGTTGTTAAACGGACATATGTGGCTTTTTATAGGGAGAACGCTTGCCAGGCGAAAACCCACCAAGTCCTGGAACACTGCCGCCGAACCATTTGCTGGAGCGGGAAGATCCCGAATGACCCAGCTGGCATCACGAGGAGGTTGTTCGGCAAGCCAGCGAGTCCGTATAGATGCTGGAAGTGGAGCGCAAAGCTCCAACTCCGATTACCCCAGTTACTTTGGCGAAAACAGGCACCGTGCCAACTTCAGTCAAACCGATCAAACCGAGTGTCGAGTCAAGAACTCGTCTGGTGAACATGCCTCGTCGCAATGATTCTTTTACGAGCAGCATGATTATTTTCAGTAGCGTTGCTGAATCTGCAGCGGCTCTTCCCAGAGAACGCATGTTGGATGACCTCCAGTGCTTCAAGCTGTGAGTCAACACGATTCTTCCACCTGGCTTCCTTGGTGTCGGTCAGAAGACTGAACAAACTGCTGGAGGTTCTTCTCATTACGTCAAATCCGCGACCCGACTAAAAATTAAATAAAATCGCCAGCTCTACGTCGTAACGGCGCTTCGCTGCCGCATGACAGCCACCGTTCGCGCATGGGATGTCCGCCCCTATGCGGATTCGAACCACTGTACTTAAGATTCCGAACCAAGCGTGTAGACCACTCGGCCGAAGGAACGCAAAGCGTTATTGCGCCTTGTATTCAAACTCAAGAGTAGTAACGTCAGCGTCCATTGGCAGTCAGGCTGAAGTTGAACGAGGCCATCACCGACCTCCAAAAAAGAGGGTGGATAGTGAGCAATGACTCCGGTTGTGGGTTAATTTCCGCCATATCAGAACCCATCCTGACGGCGCAGGATCCAAGTGTGGTTCTTCATAGTTCCCTCAAGCAGTAGTTAGAAATATGCGTAGCCTAATGAACAACGTGCACGAGTTAGGTCTACTTGTAAAAAAATCTCGTTCCGTAGAGTTTAGAAGTCACGATTAAACTCTACAGGAAAATCTGCCTCGACGGGGAATCGAACTCCGGTCCACGAATTTCCGGTCCGTTGCTCTACCACTGTGCTACCGAGGGCTGATGATTAGGTGCGGAAGTTAACACGTGACTTCTGCTTGTTGCGCGACGTATTGCCAATGAGCTCACAGTAACTGTCCTGGTGTTGCAGATCGGCTCACTCACTCGTCACTACCCAGTGGACCGAAGTAACTATCCATCCGAAGTCCAAAGGGCGATGGTAGATTATTTGAAGGATGTTTGTGAGTAACGTAACGTTACTCACAAACATGCTTTAAATCTCGTTCCGACAAACTTGCTTTCACTGAAATGTTGTTTTTCCTGATATCATGGATGCCGATCTACGTTTACCTGGCCACACTCGGCCTATAATTGATCGTTCCGTTGCTTGTCAAGGCGGAGGAGTTGTAAGATATGTGAGCGGCAGATTACAGGCCTTGAGGGGCTAACATTTCAGTCGTTGGATCAGACTGCTGAAGCCCCGTCGTCGGTTATGTGCACTTCCTCTTGTTGGCACGCTGCTTCTTTTCCTCTGCTCTCTGCCACTGAAGACTGTTGTACTGTCGCTAGCTGCCCTTTCGAGACTGCGGCTGTCTGACTGCGCAGTCACGCGCCCAGCCAACCAACGGAATACAAAAGATCAGAACTAGGTAGACAGAGAGACTTGTATGAGAGCACGGCGCAATAAATAGGTTGTGGACAACTACTTAAACAACAATATTGGAGATGCTAATTGGTGTTAATTAACACAACTCAAATGGTTCAAATTCGTGATCCAACTTGCATCTGATTCCGCATCAATTCGCATTTTGATCTATAGTCGAGTTCGATCTCTAATTTCAGATCGATCCACTTTTGCGGCACTGCTCTCGGCTTGATTGCTAGCTGTAAGCTCTCTCCGTATCACCTCTGCTCACTTTATAGCTGTATTGGTATACAGGAGTCCTGGAAACACGTCCATGGAGATAAGTGGTTATATTCGCACATCCTGGGAATAGATGTCTAGTTCCTGGAGATTTCAACCTCCCTGAATTCTGTTGGACTGATCTTTCGTGTAATTCGGCGTTAGGAGCGTTCGCTGTAGATTTTCTTAAGCTGATCCTCCAATTGCCATGGCACTAGTTCGTGGACTTCCCTACTAGGTAAATGGACAATCAAGTACCATCTTCATTAGATCCGGTTTCCGCCAGGTCCATCGACTTCGTAATTGATATTTCGGACCATAAATCTCTATGGTCCATCCATCATTTATGTATGTCCATTCGATGTGTTAATTTAAGGTACCAAACAGACTACCGTTGATTTATTTCCGAATATTTGACAAGTGGACTATAGTGCAATGCGAGCTAAGGCTTTACTTCTGAACTGTGAGATCTCGTTATCCAACTCTGTCCAGCTAGCCTCGAATAGATTTAATTCATACCTTTCAGAGGTTTTCTGTTCCATACATTCTACTCGTGAGGAAAAAAGACTATGGGCACAGCCTCCACAGATATATTCCACAGGCAAATACGTACTCAGGAAACAGTCTAAATGCTGGAAAACCTACCAGCGGTTCCACAAATCAGCAAGTACGACAGTTACCGGAAGGTTAAGAATAAATGTAAACGTCTCGTTTCTCTAGCAAACATCTCAGGACTGCTCGTCTCTAATGCAAGATGGCTTTAGCTGACTCGGCCGCCGCTAATCCAAAGTTCTTTGCTCACGTAAATAGGGGCAGTGGTGCAAATCTGTCCATAACACTTACTGCGAGCAGAAGAGAGCCGTGCGTACATCGACTATGTTAAGACCTGTTTACTTGGCGAACAGTATACTTAGACCTTCGCCCGTGGATACAAGAGTTCCAGAGGATTCTTGTTTAGCTGAGTTTAGCATACCGGAGACGCAAGTCTTCGAGCTATTACAAAGCATAAACCCCTCTAAAGCCTCCGGCACTGATTTAATTCATCTCAACCTGTTTCATGAATTGGCGGCCGAACTGAGTGGTTCTCTCGCTTACGTGTTTACAAAATCGCTTGTCAGCTTCCTCTTAGAAAGAAGCCATCATCTGTCTGATTTTTCAGAGCAGTGACAGTAATCTGCCAGCGAACTACTGGTGTGTCAGTTTGATAAGCGTCGTAGTCAAGTTGTTTGAAAAGCCGGTAAGGGATTCGGTGAAGAACCACTTGCACAAGTGTAACCACAGTGCTCTGCAACACGGATCCTGCAAGGGA